CTTTTCACAGATCACAGAGGGGTTGCAGGAGGGAAATAAAATATGCTATCTAAACAATTTTGAGCTACATATGTATAGTATGTATATATTTTAATTTATTATGAAGATGCAAAGTTTTCCTGGGGATTAATGAATGTATTTGGGGTTGAATTATCAAGAACATAGTGGCATACATAAATATTCAAAATATTCAAAATGTTTGGTATAACGTTCCTCTAAAGATTTGTCAGAAGTTGGTATCCTCTAAGTCTGCAGGAATAAAAAAATAAAAAATCATCAATAATAATAATGGTGGACAGGGTATTAATCAGAGTATTAAGTGCGCTCTAATCAGTTCTAACAAAATTTCTTGGACACACCTATTATTCTGTCCAGCCGAAATATTTGTATTTTATGAATTAAGCAAAAGCAAAGATATTTTTTATTTGTTTCAACGCCGAAGTATGTTTTTGTTAAAAACCTACTTATTCTTTGGGAATAATTAAACAAAGTATATACATACTTGTATGAAGGCCAAGCTTTTTTTAAAAAAAATACATGCTCACACCTATTATTCTGTTCAGGTGTACTACAAGTATATTTTGAAGATGTCGTAAATAGTAAGAACATAAGTCTTTGCTAACCCATCGAGATATGTGAACAGTTGGCCTCCCACTTCTTGGATTCCAGAGCAATGTCGAGAGTTAAGGCGACACCGCGTATAATTTTACAACTCTTTAATGTTGATTTTTTGCTCAAATAACATATTTTACATACTTTTCTTTAAACAACATGGAAACGTGTAAATGTACAAATTACATAACAATGAGTGTGAGTGAGTAACATCAAATAAAGATACAATTGTATCTGGTTATTTATCTCCAGTTTGTTGGTGGGTCGGTCGGTCAGACGCCAGTGGGCGCAGCCAAAATGTTCGCACGAACTGTTTGTTTTTCGTTGTTGTTGTTGTTGTTTTTTCTACTTTTTTTTTTTGGGTCAAAGACAAACACTTGTCGTTGCTGTTCAAGTGTCACCGGACGGAAGAAAGTGGCGCTCACGCAGACATACTACAAGTATACAAGTATAGTATGTACTATACGAGTATAAATAGTATGTCATAATTGTAGTCAGATAGTGGGCCTACTTGTAGACCCACCAGCCTAGACAACACTCTGGATCAGCTATAAAGGCTCGTAGTTGTTACATACTCGTAGTAGCTATTTGTGCAAAAATGACAATCATTTAGGGCCAAATGGCAACCACGTACCAGTCGAAATGGTTTCATATTTACACTCTAACATGGGTTGTTATCAGTGCGCATCGTTGGTTGGAGCTCGGGAGTACGTGCCTGGACTGCGTCCAACAATTTTACATTTCAAATGGCGTCCATTTGGGCTGCTGGCCTAGCCCGGCCCAACCCGGCCCGGCCCGATGCCGATGCAGCCCAGACGAGGGGCATCGCTTTAATTGTCGCCGCCGTTGAAATAATTTTAACGAGTTACGCGCATGCGCAATTGTCCAACCAAGCAGCCAAGCAACCAACCAACTAACCAACTATCCAGCTAGCTATCTAGCTAGCTAGCCAACCGCTCGCTTGTGCCGCACCACTTTATGCAACCGCCGCACCACTTTCACTCATTTGAGAATTCATTGAGTTGTGGCCGTGCGATTCACTTGCATATTTATTGTTGTGATCAGTGCAGATTTCTATGCTTTCCATACTCGTATGCGTCGCCATCAGCATTTATTTAGCGCATAATTTGCCGTAATGGGCCATAATGCGGAAGCCACGCAAACGATGCCTTCACCGAGTCTTGTCCACATAGGCGGTACTACTACTATTGCATAATTACTATCATCCTACAAGTACACATCCAGTCCGCCCCAGCAGAGTATCCTACCAGCACGAGCCAGCCGAGCCGTTCCTCCATCCAGCACTTTAAATCAATCCGTCATATGATGATTCTTGGCTCTAAGAGTGATTTTTTATTGTTCATTTCTATATCTTATAGTCATATGGTAGATTATAGCGCACCGACTTTGATGAAATTTCCGTTTTGTAATTTAAAATGTAATACCAATTCGCTTGGTTGAGATACCTTAAGAAAACGCCAAGCAGTATATGTGATTCATGCACAGATCGGTCCTATGGGAGGTAAATGAAATAATAAAACCGACTATGGTTTATTTACTAGTTGGTCTGCGTATAAATAAGTTTATGTTTGGTCTTTATAGTTTATTTATTTTTATACCCTGTACCCAAAGGGTAAAAGGGCATATTAGTTTTGTGCGAGTGTTCATGTAACACACAGAAGGAGGCGTGGCAGAGTATATATATTCTTGATCAGGATGACAAGTCCGCCTGTCCGCCTGTGTGTCCGTCTGTTTGTATGAACGCAAGGATCTCAGAAAGTATAAGAGCTAGATTAACCATATTTTGTATTCACATTCTTCTAAACACGAGAAAGGACGAATTTGTTCATTTTTTCCGATTTTATATTTAATGTAATTAATTAATTAAACTAATTAAATTTTTAAACATTTTTTATTTGCAACAAGAGAATTAAAGTGCATTCGGACTTTTTAGTGTAGCCTTTCACCCTTCGGGTCCAAATAATCTAGCCAAGTTAGAAAAGTATTTTCAGTTTATGTTCCAAAACGGGATTTAACAATCTCGATTAAAGCACACCTAAGTACAAATACGAACTCCACATTCCAAGAGACTGTGATGATGCATTTCCCCAGCGTTTCCCCATGACATACTTAATTATACGAGTAAGTAGTGACAAATTTGGCCGATTGGAGTCATTCGCCCGTACAAGTATTTGTCTGATATCTACTGCTGGGTCCGATATCTTGTGACTTGGCTTAATGAGTTTGCTTACGTTTCACTACACACAGTCGCATACAAGTAGATACGCATGTAGATACATTTAATAGATTTGCCAAATATTGGATAACAAAATGTGCACGTTTCTTTGGTCGCTTGCAAATTGGGTTTTATTATATTTGATTGTTTTTGTTTTTTGGTTTTTTTTGGGCGAGTGCCTGTCGTCACATTGTTGGACAGTTCAATTATTAATCTATTGAAAACAGCTGATAAGATATTGAAGTCGAAATCATTTTCTAACGAAATCTATTGCCTAATGAAGACAAGCAAAGTGTCTGCATATCTGCATGCCAAATATTCGAATCGCCCGGGTGCTTTAAGCACTTTAGTGCGATCCGACTGTTGGGATGTGACAAACATGTTTTCATTTTAATAATGTTTTTATTATTCTAAAGGGGCTTATTCGTTTTAAAAAAATAAAATAAACACACGTAAAGACGTGTGAATACAAAATAAAAAAAAACGTGGTAAAAAAAAAATGAAAATACTTCTATTGCTTAAAATAGCGCAGCGGCGTCTTTATTGCTCGGCCTTGGTCTGCTTAAATGTTGCCATTAGCTTCAATTGTGGCAACTGGCGACCATCGTGTCCAGCAGGCACATGCCCGAGCGAGTATCGTAGGCCTCGCCATTGGGGCACGCCTTAAGGATAGCATTAAACTTATTATCCTGTGCGTCCCAGTTGCATGCGTAGTATTCGTGGCAGCTTGAAGCGGAAGCATAGCTACCCTCAACCGCGCATTCGAACTCGGTGGCTTCTTGCTGCAGCTGTTCGTTGGTCGCACAGGAGCTTTCAGTGGTACAATAAAATTTACCCAAGTCGAAACCCATACCTTCCGGGCAATCGAGAATCCGATGATTCAAGTCATTGTTATACTTGAAGCATACCATGTACCGGTTGCAGGCATTACTCGCTGGGTAAATTCCTACGTTAGCGCAGGGGCTAGGCGTAGTCGGAGATACTGCGGTGGTCGATGTGCTGCTCTCGGAACTTGCATTGCCGTCTACGGTGGTACTGGAACCGTCATCGCCTCCGTCGGTGGTACTGGAACCGTCATCGCCTCCGTCGGTGGTACTGGAACCGTCATCGCCTCCGTCGGTGGTACTGGAACCGTCATCGCCTCCCTCGGTGGTACTGGAACCGTCATCGCCTCCCTCGGTGGTACTGGAACCGTCATCGCCTCCCTCGATGGTACTGGAACCGTCATCGCCTCCGTCGGTGGTACTGGAACCGTCATCGCCTCCCTCGGTGGTACTGGAACCGTCATCGCCCCCTTCGGTGGTACTGGAACCGTCATCGCCCCCTTCGGTGGTACTGGAACCGTCATCGCCTCCGTCGGTGGTAGCGGAACTTTCATCCCCCCCTTCGGTGGTAGCGGAACTTTCATCCCCCCCTTCGGTTGTGTCGGAACTTCCATCGCCTCCTTCGGTGGTGTCGGAACTTCCATCGTCTCCTTCGGTGGTACTGGAGCTTTCATCGCCTTCCTCGGTGGTCTCGGAACTCTCATCGTAGTTGGCAGTAGTTTCAGCAAAGTTAGCCGTGGTGCTATCATCGTCATGAATGTCTGGATCCACCGACGTGGGTGCTGGTGTTGGTGTAGTGGGTGCTGGTGTTTGTGTTGTGGGTGCTTGTGTTGGTATAGTGGGGTTTTCAATGTCACCACCATCACGTGGGACAATCTCCTTAGATACACACTCTGCCATTTCGGCATTGAACACATCACCGTCTTGGCATTGCAAATATCGCACCGTATAGCCACCAGATTTGTTAATGTCGCAGGCATAAAACTCGGGCGTGTTGTCCACAAGTGGAAAGAACCCTGCTTGGGTACAAGGGTTACCTACAAGCGGTACACCCCATCCACTGCCCAGAAGCAAGGTGGCAAACAGCACCTGGATCTTAAACATTTTTGCGATATCGCTGATTTCCAATAAATCGGTAATTATGTATTCCACTCGTTATTTGAATTGGCAGACTAACTGGGCCGGGCTCTTGGCGCAGTTCTTATATAGCTGTCAAGTAGCAGTCTTGCTATCGCCATAGAGACGATTGGGTATAATTAGCTGATAAACGAGTGCTAGGTCGTCGTTGTCCGTACCCTATTTATCGGAAGTAGTAGCTGTTCCACAAATTTGAAAGATCTCATCGCTTTATTCATGCTAAAATAACAACAAAATACGAAAATAAAAATAATTAAATTTGTTAAATACACCAACATAGATTCTTAAGACAAGGGGCTTATGGTCCAGTTCTACTCGTTGCTTGGAGTGCATGCGCCTATCTGTGCGTCAAATATGTGCAAACCTCTACACTCCAGGGCCAGTGTCAGCAACTGACCATTTTGGCTAACGCAAGCAAAGAACTGCTGGGGATTCTGGCGTGGATAATTTCCCTCGCGGCTACATTGGAAGTTCTCTGGCTGGGGTCCTAGCTGTTGGGGCCATTCTGTGTCTTCCTCGGATTGCTCACTTTCTGCAGACTGTACCTTATTCTTATTCTTTTCCTTTTCCTTTTCTTGTTTGGCCTGCTGTTTGGCTTGCTCTTTGGCGGCCTTCTTTGCTTGTTTCTCCAGCTCCTTTTGCTGTTTCAGTGCCAGTTTCTCCTGCTGCTTGAGCACCTTCTGTCGCAACTTTTCCTCAGCCTTGAACGCCTTCTGCTCGCGTTTAATTGCAGCCAAGTCGCTAGACTCAAGCAGCTCACTGCCTGGAGTCAATTGCGTCCAATCGTAACGCCAACATCTGCCCAAAACTGGTTCGAATCTTTGGCCAATGGAGCAGCGTACACGGTACTTGTGTAATCCCCCCAATAGGCTTGGAACACAATTGTAGTAATGGCTGTCATCGCTGCCACTAAAACGTCCTACAGCAGTGCAATTGAAACCATCGTCGCTGCACGCCGCCAGATCTCGGGTGCAACGTCCGTAGAGGGGGGTGAAGGCTGTGAGTGGCGGGCATACCTGTTCCAGAGCCACCAGCTGTCCAGTGAGCGCATCCAGAAGACAGTTGTAGTAGCGTCGGCAGTCACCATCAAGGTGAGCAAAATGGCCGGTACTTTGACACTCAAAGACAGGTGGAGCCGGCGGTGTTGGCGCTATGGTGCTGGCTTCCGGAACTAATGTTGTAGTAACAGGCTCCTGTCCATTGGCATTTCCACTGGAAGTAGTTGTGGTAATAGGGTCCGAGTCCTCTGCGTTGCCGCTGTTAACTGTTGTGGTATCAATTGGTGCGCCACCATCGCTATTGTTCGGCTCTGTGGTTGTAGAAGCTGGTTCATCCGGAGAGTTTGTTGATATTTCCTCGTTAGCTGCCGTACTAGTTTCTTCATCAGGACTTGTCGTCGTTGTGGTTGAATCTCCATTATTGACATCGTTGGCTGACGTTGTTGTTTCTTCATCAGGACTTGTCGTTGTTGTGGTTGAATCTCCATTATTGACATCGTTGGCTGCCGTTGTTGTTTCCTCATCAGGACTTGCCGACGTTGTGGTTGAATCCTCTTCATTGACATCGTTGGCTGACGTAGTTGTTTCCTCATCAGGACTTGCCGTTGTTGTGGTTAAATCTTCAATAGTGACATCGGTTGTAAGGCCTATGCCACTGCCTATGAGAATATGTGAATAAATCGTTGTGATTTTTTGATGATTTTTTTTACAAGATCCGTCCTACCTGATCCGCTTTCGTTGTTTTCCTCCGTGGTCGTTGTCAGAGAGTCTGAGTCCAAGCCTGCGGTGGTGATGCCACTCCAGGCATCTGTACCAACTGCGAGAGCTCCGCTACCCTCAGTACTAAGTGCCACAATGCCGCAGGACTTGTTGAGTAGCTGCAAGTGTGATTAATCCGTGAAGAATTCTGATTACTTTCAATCCACACAATGTGTCACTCACCAGCGCTATGCAGAGTAGCAGCATGGAGAAGGCTACTGAAAACTTTCCACGCCTTGTTATCATGGTCGTATTTATTGCTGAATTAGTCGTTGTCGTCGTCATCGCTACCTGTACCATAGGCTAACGTCGGTCGATCGTTGTATGAGCGGTTCGCATGGCTTACGGCCGATTTTATATGAAAATGCCGTTTGTTTTTAGAGCGGATGCTGTGTACATCAATTGTGTGGTCTTAGCACTTGACGCTGCTGTGGGCCCTGGAATATCTTGATATCTTAGGCAAATAGCAAATAAAAATCTGTCACGCTTGGCGCTATTTTTTGTGTTAACCGTTGTCAGCGCCTACGGTTCGTTGCAAAATATATATACACACATGGATACCACTTGCAGGGAAAACATAGTTGTAAAGTAATAATCCACACAACCACCGACGCTTCTAACATTTTATCTACCCTACGATCTAACTGGCCATCCAGATGCCCGACACCTGCCGCCGACGCTGATCCGTGGAATTGAAACGGAAATGTGTAAAGATAATGCCACTTTGACTGCAGATAAAGCGATAAGGGGTCAAGCAGTGTGTTGATGGGGGGACTAGATTATTTGTTTGTTTTTGGCCACCGAATCTTCCAGTGACAATTACTTGATGTTATTTGGATATGAGACGATCCAATGTTATCACGATAACAAGTGCTGGAAATGTGACTCACTCGGGTACACAAAAAGGTCGAAAAAATTAATAAAAAAAAAAACCACTAGTCATTTGAATTTGCAGAACGCCTAAAAGTACCCCAGAAGGCAACTATTTTTAGACAGCTGTACAATTATTTTCCACCACAACTGAAAGTTCGTTTAAAACAGTTTTTCTTTGGCTTTTATTTGTTGTTGCTTATGATTGATTTATTAAAATGGCAAATGAATGGGAATATATGTATTTCGTTTCTATTGCGAGTAAAGTTTCAACATCAAGATCGCTTCCTTCAGCATGTCTCGCTATATATGAAATGGAATGCTATTTTGAATAGGAATATTTTCGCATTATATGATGTTTAATGTTTCAAATCAAAGCAATTAATCATGCATTTTTTTTTTGGAAAATTTCCCTGTACAATAAAAATTCATAACCGTATCTAACAGAAAATGGAAAATAAATCACCATCTCTTTCACAAAAATACAAAGAATCTCATTCACACATTCTCTGAAGATAACTACTACCAGATAAGTTGTTTTGTATCCTCGCCCAATTGGCAGGCATTGTCTTTTCTCGTAGCTTTCAGGAAATGAAAAATATCTTAAAATTGAATGGACGTTTCAAGTAGATAAGGGTAACTCGTTAACTAAAGCATAATCATACCAATCGGCATAATGAATTCGATCAACTGCGGTTGGTTATATACAAGTACACATTCCATTAAGGCGCAAAGCTGGATGGCGGCGACAGCAGCAACGCCATTGTCGTTGCTGAAGAACACTAGACAAGTGACAGAATAGTGCATGAGCGCCAACAACACTTTTACATATGAATATATGTATCTGTATCTGACGTTAATCTCGCCCACAGACACACACACACATACACCCGCACCCACATACGAACACACCCGCATCTGTGCGTTTATATGAAAAGATATCTCACTGTGATAAGCTTGATTTTTATCAGTGCTTTTGGCATTATCTAAACGGTTTTCGGTTTGGAAAAATGATGACTGCTAAGCGGCCAGACGCGCGTCATACGGCAGCAGCCACACAAAAGTTTGAACAGAAACATCGTTAACGGATCAGAGCCACGACCTTTGTTTTTGTTATTGTTTTTCGTGCTTGTGCCATCGTAAGGATCTTAATCAAGTGAAATGAGGCCAATGACTGGGACAACGACAACAACAGCAATGACAGCAACAACCACAGCATTGACAGCCACAAGCGGCAGCGCTGCCGTCGCTGCTCCAGTTCGTCGCACCACCGCCCGAGCCACCGCCGGTGTACAGCGCCGTCGAGTCGTCAAGAAGCACATCCAACAGAAGTACATGCTCTGCGGCTTTGCCATACACGTAATAAGTCTTAGTCTAATAACCTATTAATCTACTCTATAAGAGTCTGAGATTTGTGAACTTTTAAAAATTGAATGCCACGGAAAGTTTCTGCTTTTAAGAAATGAGTGAATAGCAGCAATTCGAGAGTCAAAAATTGTTGGTGGTGGAGTTTTCAAGTAAAAGCTCCAATCCAATCTAATGGGCTTCACGTATAAATATAATATCCAATAATTTACCAATAAACCTCAATTTATGCATCCCTCAGGCGTTCCTTGCCACGCCCGCATTTTTGTATGGCAACGTTGTTGAATCTGACAAGGATCTGGTGCTGCGTATTTGGCCAGCCATTGTCTATCAGGCCACAGGCGAGCTTTGCCGCTCCATTATGGAGCATCTCGACACAGAGTACAGTGGAAGAGCACGTGAGACAACAAAGTATCGTCGAATCTTTTTGCTGGCTACTCTCATTGCCTGCATCTCGCTAATGATAAGCGGTATATTTTTCTCATCGGCCTGGGTGGTTGTTACCACAACCACGCAAACGGTAGCCATTGTCTTTTATGGCTTCTTTGCCGGTAAGTAACAAGTATTGCCCATGAAAAGATCATCTTCAGAAGGCTGTAATTTGCAGGCATCGGCGCCAGTCTTTATCTGTGGCGCACTCACGTAATATTGGAGGCAGTACGTCCGCGCGAGGACAAATATGTGCGCAAGACGATTCACTTGTGCGGTGAGGCCTTTTGCCAACTGTTCCTCTCATTCGTCTTCACCAGCCTCCGCACACTCTATGGCACGGCGCAATCTATTGTTCTAATGTCGGCGCTGCTCGTTAATCTTATACCCTTGAGTTTAATAATCACGAAGCATCGTGAGGACGCCTTCACGACAAAACGTATTTCGGTGATAAAGGCAGAGACAGGATTTGCGGCGTTGCCCCTACGAAGTCTGCCTGCCCATCTTGTGGCTGATCAATTGGATGGCTTGGATACGGTGGGATCGCCATGGCGTAATCCTTCCCCTGACGTTAATACCGGTTCTGCACCGGTTGCTGTCCTAGCTGCCGCCGTCGCTGATACGCATTCAAATTACATGCTGGCTACAGACGAAGCCTATGTGACATATGTGAATCCCAATGGTGTCGAGATCATGGAAATAATACCCGAGGAGGATGAGACATTGTCCATGATGCGCTCCAGTACCGCCACTATTGACAACTATGGACGCCTGAGTGTGCATGCTTCCCAATCGTTGTCCAATGGCCGTGTGTATCAATCGCAGATCTCTGGTGGCAGTGCCACAACACCAGTGGATCCCTACACCAATCTGGTTAGTGTGACTTCCGATTCCAATAATTACCAACATTTTTAACTTTTTTCCGAACAGCATCGCATAAGGCGAATGTCGCGAGCTGTAACTTCGCATTTGTGGTGGAATCTGCTGGATAAGATCGCCATGCCGCTGCAGCAGGCGCTGCTGGTGCCGCAGTTATATGCGACCACACTACTATTGTCAGCTGATATTTTTAGCTACGTGATGTGTCTTACTGTTCTACCCGGGCTGGCTGTGAGCCACCACGCATTAAAAAATGCCGAAATTCCGTTTCTCTTTTCGTTGTTGGCCTTTCCATGGATGTGCTTCTCGCTGATGACGCCACGATTTGGCAGCAGGTGAGTGTCGACAATGATGCATCGATTTCTCAAGCTCCTTTAAATGCTCTGCCGCAGTCTGTACAAGCACAAGCTGCAATGGCACTCAATGGGCAGCATCTGCAAGTTTATGGCCTTGATTTGTAAGTAACCCATACGTTTCCCGTTATAAATTTTGCATTTAACTCTTCTTCAATCCCGTTAGTTATTAGCTTCTCAACATCGAAGCTACTGTTAAGCGTTTCGGCCGTTCTACTGGGCTTTGGCCAGGTTGTCACCGCCTTTCTGCAAGAGCTAGTATTTCAGATGAGCATGCCGCGCGCCAATTGGACCGCCATCCGCAGGCCTGTGCACTTCACCAACGGCCTGTTGATATTGGTTTGGGGCGCTTTGGCGCATTGGGTTGTGGTGCGATACTCCTTCCAGGCCACCGTTTTGTTGGCGGGTACGCTTTACGGTGCAACGACGTTATTATGGAATTTCTTGTTCTTCTGTTGCCAAAGCAATGATTGATGAGGACGTGGTTTATACAAAATGTGTTGATGTGTATTTGTTTTGAGCGTGGGTGATATTATAAATGAAGTTGAGACAATTAAGTAGTTTTCACTTTACATACATAAATACATGTAAATGTTTGTAGTCAAAGGCTTCGTTCATGGGCTCAAAACGCTATTTACCGCTATTTCGCTGAGCACCCGTAAATAAAGTTCGAGGCTATGAAACACCTTCTTATCGCTTTGCTTCGATAACTTTTCGATATGTGGCTTGTATACACCGATTGCATCCAATTTCGTCCACCACTATTTTGTGTAAGCACGCTGAAAGAAATTTTAATTGTCATACGAAATTTGTGCACTTTAAGTAATAAAACGGAAATAATCAGAAAAGAAATCGAGTACCAAGTAGGTATACTGTGGACATATATACATATAAGCTCTAGTGAGAAAATGTGCCCACTTCCGCAATTAAAACTAACACCTCCAGTGCAACTTGCAGCCGGCTTGGATTTTGCAATGAAGTAAAACAAATTGCGCGTGGCATTAATGTTTTATGTTCTTTTTCTAAAGGACACATTATAGGTAGTTTTTGTTGAATAATAACTTACACTCCCGTTGTGTACGGTTCGTAAATGCTTTCAAAACGGCGCGTAAATCGCAGACGAGAAATGGATGGGGCAGTAATTATCGGTCACACGCTCCCGCCACAAGAGACGCTAATAGAACAAATTGCAGATTATAGTTCATAAACGTACTTTTGCACCGGCGTTTTGTGTTATATTCAAAAATGATGTTAATGTTTTGAATAGGCTTACTCTCCTTCAATTTGCAGTTTCGAGCCGGCCCCATAAACCATATCGCACTTACTAACATTGGCACACCAGAAAGTGTGCAAAACACAGCCAACATACAGCATATAGAAAAAGTGGCGGCTACCTCAGCCTATGAGGAACACGGATTTTCATCAAATCGACTCTTGCTTCAGGTGGTTGATTTAAATTTGGTTCCCAATGGCTATGGCACACTCATGCCGAAAACATCGCAGGTGTGTACAATAATAATCAAATTCAGCTCGTCGTCCGCATATTGAAAACGCTTAATGCCAGCAGGGGATTGTTGAGGTTGTAGAGTACACGCAACAACTCCAGGAACCATATCACAGTGGGTCCGTGGCCGATTTATGGCAAGTAGGCCAGGGTTCTGTGATTAGTTCAAGCGTTCCTGTCGATCAGCAAATCCAAACGACAACCCTAGCGAATAACGCATATATTACGCAGGTTTGTACAATATTAATCAAATTCTGCCATACGTGTGCATATTGAAAACGCTAAATGCCAGCAGGGGATTGTTGAAGTTCTAGAAAACACACAACAACACCAGGAACCACCTCACAACAACAGTGAGCCTGCGGCAAATTTATGGCAATTAGACCAGGATTCTGTAAATTATTCAAGCGCTTCTGTCGATCCGGAGCACGTCCATGCAAATTCTCAGACCCAGACAACTTTACCGAATAACCCAAACACTTCTGATTCTCGTTTGGCCACATTACAACGCACAGCAGAGTTTCTAAACGAATTCTGCGAGAACCAACTGTGTAATTGTGATCTTGAAACGTTTTGGAAAATATTATTGCTCCGTCGTAAATTGTTCGATGTGCGAGACTATCTGTTGAGCGAAACGCTTGACGCTGATACCAGGGACTGGCTTCAATATTTTGACGACAGATTGGCCCCCGTGTCGGCTCGCATTGACCAAATAAATCGCGATAACACAAAAGATCCGATGGGCTTCGATCTCCTAACGAAAATACGTCATCTGTTTGCGCTCGGCAGTTGGAATAGCGGCAAAGACTCACAAAACACAATAGCTGGGGGCGAGGGAGGCACCGCTGAAATCAACGCTGACAGTGCATCTGCAAAGAAGCGACGGTAAGTGCATAAAGTGAAGCTAATACGGCCGCTCTCCCTTTTACAGAAATCATTTTTCATTACTTTATATATGTATATAGGATATACTATATACAGACTTTGCCATGAAATTGGAATTGTTTCTGTATATATTTGTTTCAAGAAATCCTTGTTTTTTAAATAAAGTCAAATTCAGTAGTTTCTATCATTTAAACATGCAATACAAAATGTCTAATTTTTTGTTCGTTTGTTACCTGGCTATGTCTGATTTCAGTCGGTCTATTCAAGAACTCGAAGAAGACTCCTTCTTAATCAAATATCGTCGTGTGAATAATACATTCCCCAAATATATACCGAATGACGGTGAGTCTGTTAATTGGTCGAACCCAGAAACTCTAGCAACTGAATTTCAATTCTCGTTTCACAGCTGACGAATACAACTTTACGGCAGCAAAACCGATGGCAACCAATCGCAGCCAAAAGAATCGTTTCAATCCGTCGGATGCCAACGATGGACAAACGGTTGGCGTACCCACGCCAGCACGTCGCTCGATATTTGATGTGCCACAGACGATACGCACGCGTGTACGCAACACAAATTCCATGGCCGTCATAGATCTGTCAGATGATGAGAATAACGATAGATATGTTTACTCTGGTTCGAGATATCGGCCACTCCGCGGCTGCATGAGTCGCCCCATTCCCATGCCCAAGGTAGCAGATCAGGAATGTGTACGCAGCTCATCTGCCGTGCGACCGAATCTGCTTTATTCCGATGCAGTGCGTCATGGCACGAACGGATGTCTAATGGACTATAGCTATATGCGGCCTTCGAGCAGCTTGTCCTCTAACGGTAAGCAACAAACCTTTTGGCTCTCTGCACTCCAAGAATCCCATAGAATATTGAAATGTAATGTTTTGAACTATTTTTTTGGCAGCAGCTGAGGGGCGTCTGAATTGGTATGATCTGCATAACGACAGTATTGTGATGCAGGAGGATCAGCAATGCGATCGCACCCAATATATTGATCTGATCAATAACATGAGCTTGCAGGAAATCCGATCTCCGATTCAGGATCATTATAAACCAAGGCCACCACCAGTGCAACGTATCGCCCGGAATGGCAACGATTGGTTCAACAGGCTGCTCAAGCTTAAACCAACAAATACCATTAACGATGAGGTTGCTGAATACGCCAAGTTGATTGATAAAGATACAGATCGTCAAGAGCCAACTATCAGGATAATGCCACCGCTTGTGCGCTGCGACAGCAGGATCGCCACTTCCATAAGTAGCAGTAGCAGCATTAGCATAAGCAGCGGCTCCCACAGCAGCGAAAGCACAAATGACTGTGCCGCAGCCCCCCAACCAGAGGCACCGCCGGTCATCGACCTGGATGACGTCGACGAGTATGTGATTGGAAGCAACACCACTATTGGCAAGACCGCCAATTCTGAACATAATCTTAACACGTAAGCATGCCGCTAAACCAAAAGAGCTTTCAAACAAAGATTACGAACTCGACTATAAATTAACTGAGTAGCCTTGGAAACTATTAGTAAAAATATAAAATGGAATATCTTTTAGATCACTGACTTCCTTGTCACAAACAAATGCTCTGCAACGCCACTTTGAGTTGTCCTCCTATTTCTCGGACAACTTTGCGACCGCTTTCTCGGAACGTTGTTCGCGTAATCGCAAAAGGATGTCAGATGCCAAGACTATAGCCTGGCAGGAGTGAGTGCCCTGTTAGATGCTTCTATAACGACAATATTGTATTTAAATTGGTTGCATTCCTCTTTCTAGGGCACAAAAGTCATCTAATGAGCGTCGTGCTTTTGAGCAGGGATTACGCGAGCAAATTTCACGTTTGCGTATCATTCACAAGCCCATATTCGTCATAGATAGTTCCTCAAAAGTAGCATTAGAGGAAGAGGTGGAGTTCCCACCCATGACCGATGACCATATAAAACGCTATAACGAACTTGTGCATGGTCCAGGGCCGCAGGTAAGAGTAGAGCTACATGCATACAAATATATACACATAACTGTCTGTCTGTCTCTCTCTCTCTCTCTCTCTAATTCTCGTTTCGAAATTTGCGTCATAGGTGCTTGTTTCCAAGTTCAGCCTAAATATTACAAGGAACGACATACACACACTCGTCGGAAATCGGTGGCTCAACGATGAGGTTATTAACTTCTACATGAACATGCTCACTGATCGCTCAGAACGAAAATCTGGAAAACTGCCCAGCGTATACGCAATGAACACATTTTTTGTGGCTCGTCTACTCCAAAGTGGGCACAGTGCCGTTAAGCGCTGGACCCGTAAAGTGGATTTGTTCAGTAAAGACATCATCCCCGTGCCGGTGCATGTCGGCGGCGTTCACTGGTGCATGGCCATCATACATATGAGAAACAAGACCATACGCTATTACGACTCAATGGGTCAGCCGAACCCAACGGTTCTTCAAGCCCTAGAGCTATATTTGCATGAAGAGTCATTAGACAAGCGCAAGAAACCTTTTGATATGAGCGACTTCAAAATAGAAAGTGTTGCAGATGTACCGCATCAGACAAATGGTAGCGACTGCGGCGTCTTTAGTTGCATGTTTGCTGAGTACATAACGCGTGACAAGCCGCTTACCTTTACGCAGGAAAATATGGAATATTTCCGAAAGAAAATGATCCTCGAGATCTGTGGAGGTGAGCTGTGGCTTTAAGTCACCTACATTGTTCGGTTAACAGAATAAAAAGGAGCAGCAGCAAACAGGCAGACCGAACCCCTCGGCTCTATACAATACTACGTATAAACAGAAGCTGACAGCTTTCGACGCATCATAGATTGAAATTATAAGTATACATGTATTTTAAAAGAATTTTCATATTTATTTTTGAAGCACAGATTAGCTTTTAAAGAAGCATCTTAAGTGTTGTTCTTGAACAGGAGGTGTTAGAGAAAGCTATAAAGAAAGCGTGAGAGCAAAAACATAAAAAACAACAAAAACTTAAGTTCTAAATTAGAAAATGTTGTAACTAGTATAAGCATACATTAGTTTTTATAGTCTATCCACATGAATGTTCTGATTTTTTGCGTTCGTTTTTTTTTTGTTGCAGGAGTTTTATTTTTACTTTTTTTTTCTTGAAAATAAAAAAACGTAAAGTTAAATTTAGTGCCCTCAGCACATAATACTTTCTATCCCTTTTAGTGTTGAAAGCATAAGAAAGAAAACACTCATAATGTTTTTTAACATAACATAATCATTTAAGTAATATCTGTACGAAGAATAATTGGAATTTTTAGTATGTACTACAACAACAACAAACTACATCAACCAACAATCCCTGTAATAAAAACACTAGTTTTTCAATAAATGCTAACTACTACAAAAAATAGAGTTCATTTTAGTAATTTGATTTCTTTTTAAAATGTAATCTGTATCTATGTACATACATACATACATACGTAAGCATTTGAAAATCTAGCTTTTTCCTTGAGCAAGGGAAGCCTCTGTAAAGCTTATAAACATCAAGTAATAGTATCAATCATAAGTAACAGTACTCAAACCATCGACCAATGAACAGCTGCCAGGCAAAATTAATTCTTAAATACAACTCCTTCCCCTTTCTCCCTTTAGGAATGGTTTTACTACAAAGCTTATAGTATAGGCAATTAAATGTTGCGTAGATGTATCAACAGGATTTCGGTCTGTAGCTCGCTTTTGAAGCTATCGATATGAAACGATACTAATATTATCGGTATCCGATAGTAGAGCATTCATTGGATTCCTGCTCGGAGACTCAGTATGCGATTTCATGTGCTGCACGTTGGTGGTGGATTTGTGAAGATTTATGGTGTAAGATATTGCGAAATTAATAGTGTTAATTTGAAAGTAAAAACAACTATGAGTGAAGAAGGTGAAGAAATTAGTAACCTTAGTAGTGGTAGTGAAGGTGAAGATATTGGTAGTGTTAATAATGATAGTCATAATTAATGCTCCCTCTAGTGCAGCACATGCACATGAACATGCACATGGCACCGGAGGTGAAGGCGGCAAGCGCGACAGCGTCCAGCATCAGCAGCGGAAGCGGCAGAAACAGCGGCAATGGCAGCGGAGGTAGCGACAGTCGCATCATCGGCATGGCGTCTGCTTCAGTGGTAAGTTTAAACCAAGTTTTGCCTTCGATTTTTATTGCATTTTGGCTTGCGAACGCTTTTGTGCGCTTTGCTTTTGCTGTCGCTTGTTTGTGCTCTTGGACTTGGTCTGGCCATTATATAACCAATGTCGGTAGTAACAGCAGTGGCAGCGTCGCCACCCACGGTCGACGCTGACGCAGGCATTGATGCCAACGCCAAAGCCGCCGTTTCGTGCAAATGTCGTCGCAGCCTTTTGAATTGTTGACGTTGAAAATTTCAAACAAAAGCATTTTACTCACACACAGCTCCACTTTCGACCCTTCTCCTCCGCCTCCTCTTCCTAGACACAAACATCCACACGCATATGATGTGCTTTTCCCCCCTCCTCTTGCTTTTCGTGCGCATGCCGCTCATTGAGGTTTGCGTTTTCTTTCTTTTTTTTTGCCTGCCGTATATTTGCGCTTTTCCTCGCTTCAGGTGCGTGTCTCGTTTTATTTTTTGTTGTGGCTGCGACTATTGCTGTTGCTGTTGCTATTCTTATTGTATTCTTTTCATTTACAATATGCGTTTGCACTGCACACACACACTCCTGCCAAATAACAAACACACATTTATACAAGTAGACATGCATACATATGTACATATTTGGGTAAATACATACATATGTACATACATATGTATGTATGTACGTAAACACAAAAGTACCCGCGTCTACACGAATTTCTTATTTGCGTTACTGTTTACAGTTAATGTTACAATCATTCTCACTTTTCTTAATGTCCTTGTAATTTAGTTTTTTGTGGCAATATTTTTTATTTGAGTTCCTTTTCCCCCCTTCTCTTTGACAATTTTTCCTCCCTAATAATGGCCATCCAACTGTTATTGACGTTGCCTACTATAGTAAGCCTCTCCTGGCCCAGTTTCATCTCAGCGCATTGATTTCGTTTCTAAATTCTCGCCATGAATTTTCTATTAATTTTTTACTAATTTAATTTCTGAGGGGACAGAGCATCGATTACGTCAGTATGGCTGTTTCTTCCTCCACATGGTGGTTGAGGCGATTCGCCTGTCTTCTATTTTTGTTCTACATCTATTATTGTGAATGAGAGCAGAATATTGTGTGCGCCCTCGTTTCCCCGATCCGTCGCTGACAAGGCCGAAAAACCCTGCTCTGTAAATTAAATTTGGCACAAATATACAATAAGCTCTATTCAAATATTTGTTTCAAGACTTGTTTCCGTTATTTGTTTAACCATAACCAATGAAAATGTAAATATGTACATGGTTCTTTCCCAAAATGCAACCACTATTGAAGGGAGGGATATCGTATCGTTCAGAATTTTCTATCTAGACAGACAATTTTTAACAATCCTCCTTCAGAACAATTTTGTTTTAATTGCAAATGAAACGCTATTAATATTTTTTTGTAACATTAGTTTTGTGTCTTTATTTCACAATTTAATTTTCATTTATTTATTTATTTTGTATTATTTTTTAATTAAAGCGCTTTTCTGTTGTGCACTCACAATCAAAAAATATGGAAGTATTTGCTAGGCATGCATTCGTTAATGCTGCCAGGTAAGTAATATACGTATACCGTTTCTTCCTGCCTGCCTTCAATCTCCTAATTGATTTCATGATATAATGTGTAATAAATATATACCCAATTTCTTCACAGTATGACACGGCAGCGGCCCAAATGCAAGAACATAAAACAACGATTAGCTGCAAAAGCATTGATAAAACAACAATTAGTTCGTCGTCTTTGGAGGACAGGCAGTCACAGCCTCTTGCCATACACTACCTGGCCAGTTTCCATCAGATATGTGTTGTGACGGCGCTGCTGCCATTGGTGACGCTTTTCACGTGCTTTGTGACCGCCTACGTCTTCCAATACGACGATGTACACGAGACACATTGCCGAGTAAGTGTAATATCTATATCTAACGAAGTTTCCGAACACCTAGCTAATAAATATGTAACTTGTCGCATCTGAAACAGGTCTACAACATTATACCTTCGATAAGTGCAATTACCGGCGTAAGTCCGCAGCGTTACTTTTGGCGCTTCAGCATTGCGCTGCATCTGGGACCGCGCATTCCCATTGCCTTTGTCTACAAGAACTATTATCGTTCCCAGTTGGCGAACCTGGCGCCTGCCCTGGTTTCAAGGACCAATTGGTTAATCACGCTTATCCTAGTGCTCAATTGCGTTGAGATAGCGTCACTGGGAGGCGTTACCTATATATCGAACCGGGAGAACTATCGTATGTATAATAAATTCATATTTTACTCTATTTCATTTACTCTTATTTCCGAATGCATTTTTTGCAGCCATACATGAGAAGATCTTCATAACGTTTATGGTGTGTTCGCTATGCTATATGCTCGCCACCATTAAGCTAAATGGGATCCTGCATGCCCCGCATACGCTGAACGTTGAGCAGAAGCTTTCGATTAAGTGGAAGAAAATACTGTTTGTTGTCTCCATATTGAGCACCATCGGTCTGTTGGTCTTCTTTGCTAAACATCGATTTTACTGTCATGATTTGGGTAAACTATCTTTTATATATAAGGTATATAGAAGTGAAACCTAATGCCCGATTTCATTCTTGTTCCTACAGCCTTTAGTTGGTTTGCATTTTTTGAATACTTAATTGCCATTGCAAACATGCTATTTCACTTCACCATCATCTGGGACTTCCCTTCGCAGTTTATGCTGATTGTGCAGGCGCCGCGCGAGAATCTGTCACAATATTTCTGTGCGCCACCTTCGAAACAAAAGAGCGACTAAGAGCTAGTCAGATGATTTATAAATACCTTTTTGTTTTGTGTATACATAATTACTAACAAAATACATAGCATGTATAACTGAAAGTATGAAAATTCCCTCAACATTTGCATTGCATCTCGAACGAAACGTACAATTATTGAAATTCTTCAAATTTAACTAAAGCGCTTCCAAAAAGTTATTACAAAGAAACATAATTTAACACTTTATTGTCGTGCTAATTTCCATGAGACTTGCATGTACTTTTGTTTCCTATAATTAAATGTTCCATATTCATTATGTATGTACGTTTAATGAGTTCCATACGCATAAAGATTAGGAGATACCATTAAATGAAATCAAATAAATCACCAGAGTTAAACACACACAAGTAAACAAATTATGTAGAAAATATAACGTTCTCTCCAAATACATTCGAAATCCAAAGTTAATCAAAAATTTAAGTTATATAATATTAAGTGCACCATCAACTAGTTACATGCATTAATTGAATTATACCTATAAATAATGCCTAGAATGCCTAGAACAACATACTTTAACGCACTTCCATTTTATTTATTAACGCCTAATGTGATTTTATTTATCTATATGGTAATATTTATTTATTGATTGTTGCATATACATACATATATACGAACTATTTTGTTTTTAAGCTTAGCATATACATTTTCTTAAACATTTTTCCTAATAAGATGAGCCTATCTCGTTTCTAAAGTTATTTAAGCCATTTAAAAAATTGTGATTAAATAATTTTGACACATTTTAGTGCTTTATAAAATCATACGATCCTAACAAAATTATATTCAAATTTTCAAATATACCAGCTCGTTAAATAATATCCCAAAGTCCGATTACTTATTCATGTTAGGTCTAATGATTTGCTTTACCTTTGCTGTCTGTTCCCTAAAATAAAACAAACAACAAATATCTGAAATATCTTCTTCCATTTTTCAAACACAGCTACTGTATTCTTTTCCCTGAATACTGCATTCAAGTTCCCATTTACAATAAAAAATAAGTAAAGTAGCTGCTCAGGTCTATTCCAAATTTCTAAATTTACCGGAAATGGGGACAGAGCCAGATTTCCAGTTTAATTTGAAGAACATTTCTCATATTGTGATTGCAACCAATGCTTGATCTCAAGTCAATTTCAAGAAAAAATCATATACCATACTTATGCCTAGGATTAAGACAGCGTTCGAACGAGCTTTCAATTACAAAATCCAAAATCGACTTTAAAATTGATTTATAGAGAGACATTTATTTCGATTCTGAATTTTGAAACTGGAAACTTTATTGAACAGAAAATCAACGAAAATAGTCACAACTACATTTATGAAAAGTGAAAATTATGAACAAATAATAGTTCCAATGTCAAAAGCCCCTCGTTTTTATCGTTTTTCCCAATGTACTCCGTTAAAAGCCCAGCCAAGCCAATTTGAACTCAGATAAAATGTATTCCCAATGTATATCGATATTGTTTATACAAAAGATTAAAAATAGTTTATAATACCACATACACACACACATAACTACATATAGTATTATAACACGATAAAAAATAGTTCTAATAACACCAAAAGCAAATCAGACAATAGCCATAAGCTGCGGCAAGCAACGAAAGAGGGGCGTTAACTTTCTTCTTATAAATAGACCATACTATAACATATACATATAGTACATACGAGTAAGTTCTTTTCGGATCGATGAGCGTAGAAGTGAACAAAAATACTGTACGAGAGTATTTAAGCTACGTGCGTAGGAAACTCAAGTGGAATACATATAAGTAGTTTTTGATCAATTAAAAACCAAATTAAAACAATATATTGCTGACTCAAATGTGTGAAATTTACAATTGGCTTTTATCATAAGCTCTTTATTTGTAAACATTCTAAAATAGGAACAACATTAAACGATAAAACTAGGAAAATATTTAGATACATCAGCAGAACATATATTGCTTATCGTTTGTTTGTTGTTTTCAAATGAAAATCTTGGCTTCTAACTGAAGAGGTGATTTTCAAGCTGTGCGAAGTAATACTATTGATCTATACGATCGTTGAGTATGTTCCGAATATGGGCTCTAGAAAACACCACCTTTTATAGTAGAACAAATCGGTTTTCTTTATATATATAGTATTTATAAATATTTACTTCATAGCTAAAATTCTGGAAATGTATGAAATTCTAATATAGTAGAACTCAAAGCGCACTTAAAAGCTATTCAAGCAATGCGCTTGAATACCAGACTTTGTAGCTAAGTGAAATATATAAGATAAATGAGAACAATTGTTAATATGCAAAATACCCCTACAAATAGTTGAAAAGTCTATGTGAAGCTTAAAAGTCCTACATTCAGGGAATTAAACCACAAATTATTTCGGTTGCGATTCCGAAAGTTGTACATTCTTTTAGTGTATGACTGTTCCAGTTAACGAAAATAGAGAACAATCGCTTCATTTATACCATTTTTATTGTTAAGATTTAACAAAACAGACTAAAAAGTCTTTGCTCCAACTGAAGGAACCATAAAGCAGCTGTGTGGCTACGATTTTACGAGTTTGAAGCCCCGCATAGACTTACCAAACATGGAATATTTCCCATTTAAGCTCTCCCAAAAAAAAAAAAAAAAATAGCAAATGGCACACAATATAAAAGAAACTATTTACATTCCTTACTTACTGTTATTGCTAAATAAAATTTAAATTTTATATTTGAGACCAAGTGCAGACAAAGCCCACATGCGCATTTTTGGCAAATTTATTGTGCAGCGCCATCTTCAGGGCACTGCTGTTCTCGGTTCTTTCCATGTATAATGTGCTTTGGCAGCTACTTTTTTAAACAAATTTTTAACTTTCAATTGTACTCTCACCCACTTACACTTTTTTCCAGCACTTTTCCCCTTGCTGCTTTCCATATATAAATTTGAAGAACGCAAGCTTCAAATATAGATAATTTTTAAAAACGGCTAGTTTTTAGCATTGCGTTACTGCATCAATATGTATGTATGTAGTATGTACATGTACTTCTACATACGTGACAAATTTACTCGCACGTAAAACGAAGAAGGCATGAAAGGCAATGAAGAAAAAGAAAAAACATATTGTAAACTTTGTAGCTTCTTAATTTGAATAAAGATTAATACGTACAATTGATCGAGTTTTCTGGGATATTAACATCACAATGTATGTACATACATGCATATATATGTACATATGTACTTTTATGTGTGTATATTAAACTGTTCTGTTATGTTCAACACATTTGGGCTGAGTCACTCGACAAATTCGACCTCTAATTGGGGGAAAACTGAGATCCAGCTGAGCTGTCAAAGGTAGGAGACCATATGGGACTATGTTATTGTTTGAGCAGTGTGTGACAATCTACTCTATACGTTGAATTTTTGTATAATTATAGGGCAGGCTGGAAGAGAATCGATAAATGTTTGGGAATAAATAGAGTACATATAGTTTTCACAGACCTGTCAAAATAATAATAAGTATGCGTTCAGGCGATGAATAAAAGTTTTGCGATTGAAATCCATATGTTCGATTGCTTCCGCGTCCACTGAAATGGAGACTCGGGTTTCGCAGTTGGTCTTATATCGGTAGTATAGGATATGCATACATATTGATACTGGAATTGAAAACAAACTCATTTGTTCTTCAGCGCAATTTGTTTGCTTTATTGTTGTTTCTGCTGCTGTAATACTATCCATCAAAAGCTAAAGTTTTTCGTAAATGCGAATACTCGTAGTAAAAATAAAGAGGTCAAGAATTTGAGCAAACAATTTTGGAAGCACGTTTTTATGAAATCTTTTTAATTTAATGATAAATTATTTACACTTTTTACACCTATTGTAAACTTGTAAGTGTTAAATACAGTGTAAAAATATAGGAGAGCAAATTGTACGTGGATGAGTATGTATAGATTTGCACACATAAGTAAAAGGTTGCAACTACAATGTTGCATAGTTGTTATTGTATTTGTAAATCAAAATATTGCAGATATGGTAAAATTATACAAATCATTTCTTTAAGAGTAAGTAGTTGGTGACAAACAAATCATACCCCAAAATATGTATGTATTACACATATCCGTTATGGTTATGCACGCAAATGAGGGGATCGCAAGCACATCTGCCCAAAAGCCTGGGTGCGTGCTGCCCAAAAATATATATTTTTATACAGACATGTATAGACGTGTGTATTTGTTTTGCGATTAGCAGTGTGGGCGATAGCTTATAGTAAAAATTCAGTACGAAACTACCACTACGATCGACTTTTGTATGCGTATGCCTAAAAATATTCTCCACTTAACTATTAAGTTCTTTTTTCTACACGTATGTATGTATGTGTATAGCTTTAAAGACTGCATGCGCGAGAGTGTAAATATGTTGTATGCAGGTTGTGTGTGTATGGGGATAAATGTGAGAAGAATTTGTGGCTGTGACAATAATAATAATAGCTACACATATGTATATATCTGTTCTAGTCTGGCAAATCGATGCTAATAAATGGCACCACAGGTTTCATGCTATCATTCTTCGCCGCCTTCTTGCTTTTCTTGTCGTGCTTGCTGAACTCGTGTAACTGCTCGGCAGCGGCCGCATTGCTGGTGGACGAGGATGAGGCGTCCAATGGCACCGATTGACCAGCGTTGCTGTGCGTCTCAGCATGGTAGCTAATGTTGCCGTATTCTTGGAGAAATGGCATCGCCGAGAGAAGGAATTGGCTGAAGGACTTGCGTATGCCAAACCACCACATATTGCCGCCTTTGGCGCTGAAGCTGAGGATGATCAGGGAAAGTATGGAGACGAGCAGCGGCGAGAACACCACAATGTAGGGGAACTTCAGCTCGCCATCCAGCTTGTCACAAATGACAACCTGAAATGAAATGTTGAAGAATAGATTATTCAAATCCTTTCCTTCCTTCCCGCATCTCAGACGCATTTAAAGACTGCACGGTACATTTCTGCTGTGCGTTTCCTTACCTGAAAGCAGAGCAGAGGCAGAACCGTGCAAATATTGCCAACAGCAGCATTCAGTGCCGCTTTCTTCTGCTGCAGCGACACCTCTGGTGTGCGCATCATTATTCCACAGAATATTATATTGTACAGCACACTAACTAAGCTCAGGCATATCACAATCCACATGGGCACAAAGACCACCTCCCATTGCCAGTAGACGAACTTGTCTAGCTTCAGTGGCAATGAGACAAACTGCAGGGCATTAACGGCCAAAAAGAGTTCCAATTCAAAGGAGCGATCGTGCTTGACGGCCCAGACACATGCGCCCACGCTCACAACTGAGCCAAAGATCAACGGTATAAAGACCAGCACCCACAGATGACGTTCCGATGTGAGCTTATCGCAGGCCAGTAACTCAAACATCAGCAATATCAGGTGCAAGGACAGCGAGATAAGCATGGCCTTGAATTGAGTGTACGAATCACCTTCGAGGCGATAGTGTGGATAACGACACCAAACAATTGCGCCAATAGTAGCGCCCAATATGGCAATGGCTTTCCATATCCACAGCGGTGTAAATATGGCCCAGTAAGGCCAATCTGTAAAGAGGAATCAATAATATAACTGTACGGGCAAGTCTCTATTTACACTCACCTATAAAGCCGTCCAAACGCAGAGCAAGGAGAGTCACGAATGTAAACAGACTGCAGTGGACAATGAATTTGCTGGAAATTAAGGTAAATATTTGTATTACCTTATTATGATAAACATCAAGTCTAATGGTGGTAGTGATGGTGTCTACTTACCACGGATTGAAGTCACGAAATAGCGACTCCAGGTTCATGTTGCCATAGAAAGACAACTAAGATGCGGATTTCTGAGTTAGTGTGCGCGTGATTATGATGCGTACCGCCTGCTGCCGCACCCGACCTGTATCCGGATCAAAACTCCAGCTACCGTTGCCTTGAACTGCTTTGCAGTAGCCCCAAATCGACGCCACTAGTTGCACATAACGCAATGCACTTGCTTTCCTATTCAAGCTGCACACCCCGGATGCAAGCTATATAAAATGCTGCAGTTGCTTTGGCCACTGGCCGACAGCGCTGCTGGTTGATGAACGCAAGAAAAGAATTGGTTACTAAATGCGCTGATTGAATTCGTTGTTCCTATTTTTCTAGACCGAAAATGCACTTTTCTCAGCACACACACATTCATGCAACTGTCAGACAATGTCACAACAGACATACAAACATCTGTTAGAATTGTGACTGCTGCCTTAAAGCAGCCTGCTATATAATTTGGAACAAATTATAATTAGTGTTACCAGCTTATCTTTTTCCAAGGGCTTTTTCAAAAGTTGACTACGGAATTAAACGGTGGTAGTAAATTTACAGCTTACGTTTCTTAAACAAATTCTTAAAAATTAAAATTGTATAAAGTTTAGGCTTCGCAATGAATTATATATTACCATCCAGCAATTTTCAATTTCCCATAGAGCCTAAGAGCTGGCAGCACTAAACATAATGGGCTTTGGTGAGTGCTCTGGCATCCCTAAAAGTGCGCGCTATTGGCAGCACTCTAGTGTTAAATACGTGCGAAATGGTTTGCGACGAAGAACATCTGTTTGAAATCGACCAGAGCGATTGTTGTGGCAATGGTTGCACCAACTGCATTCTTGACAATAAGCCAAAACCAAGTGTGCGCGCGTTGCTTGCAGGCAAGCGCAATGTTATCCTAAACTATTGCAAATTCAAATTGTTATATAAGCAGACCCATTCCGATTCTGACAAGAATTCACAGGTGCTTCATCTGCATTTTGCTTACGAAGCAGGAGCAGATGAGGACGATGGCATTCTGGACATTCCACCGGGCCATCATGTGATGCTGCGGGCAACGGTTGAAGCGCATGCGCCCCCACTGCTGCGTCCGTACTCGCCCTATTGGGTGGACTTTGAGCGCAAGCAATTCAAAATATTGGTCAAGCTTCAGCCGGACGGTCCAATGTCGGCATATATAGCTGGGCTGCAACCGCAGGCGTTGCTGGAATTTCGAGGACCAATTGGCAACTATGCGCACAATGCCAGCAGCCCGAAGTGCATTTTTATCATAGCCCAGGGAGTGGCTATTGCCCCCACATTGCCGCTGATCACGCAAGTGCTGGACAATGAGGACGACATGAGTCGCATTCATCATATGGTGTGCGCCCGCGATTTGAGCCACCTGTACTTTCGCGAGCGTCTGCTGGAATTTGCCAAATATTGGAATTATCGAGGCTGTGCTTATCTGGCGCATCAAAAGTGTGCTTCCGCTGTCTGCAAGGAGAACGGTGGCTGCAATGAGGAGTGTTCAGCTTTTCGCGCCAGTCTTCGCTACAAGGAGACAGTGCGTACTAGACGATTGGGTGCCAATGAGCTGGAGACATATTGCCAATTGGCTGGCTCGTCTTCATCCAACGGCGAACGCGTGCTCATCATAGCCGGCCATGCAAATTTCCAAGAGCAAATGCGCGCAGAGGCAATGAAAGCATTGGGAGTGCTGGAGACAAATGTTTATTTATTGTAAAAACAAATTGTGGTATATACAACATGTACGATAAGTGTAAACTCATTGATTATTGCTTTTGTGGCGGCATCATATCTGCATATTTCGCGAGATATGGAGTCAATAGCTCCATGGGCAAGGGAAAGATAATCGTTGAGTTTTTCTCGGCGGAAATACTGCTCAGCGTTTGCAGATAACGTAACTGTAAGTGTAATGGCAAACGAACATACATATATACATATGGAGAAAATTGCATCTATTAACTTGCTCTATCAAATACTAACTTACCTGCAGTGCCGATGGACTGGAGGATATGACATCGGAGGCTTCCTTCAATGCAGCTGCGGATTTCTTCTCACCCTCAGCGGCTATAACCTTGGCACGTGCGTCTCGCGCTGCTTCTGCTTCGGCAGCCATGGCTCTTTGCATGGAATGGGGCAACGAGACATCTTTGCTGCACGGATTAATCATCAATGTCATTAAGACAACAATACAAATCGCATGGCATAGCTTACATCTCCACACGCTCCACCATCACGCCCCATGGCTCAGTGGCCACATCCAAAGTTCCCTGCATGTTGTGGGCCAGCGTTTCACGTTCAGTCAGCAGCTCGGACAGGTTGCGTGTGCCCACAATGTTGCGCAAAGTGGTGGCTGCGAGCAGGCGAGTCGATGTGCTATAATCTGCTACCTGAATAACGGCGCTGAGTGGCTCATTGATGCGATAGTAGACGACTGCATCCACAGTCACTGTCACCGAATCCTTGGTCAACATCTCCTGTTGCGGCACATTGAATGTGACCGTGCGCAGGTCTACCTTGCAGTACTCATCGATGCAGGGTAGCACGAAGAAGACTCCGGGACCTCGAGCTCCGCCACTGCGCAGCCGTCCCATTCTAAAGATTATGGCACGCTCATATTCTGCGACCACTTTAAAGCAAATGAAAATGGCAACGGGAAACGTGAGGATGAACGCCACCACAGAAAGGATTATGGCCACCAACTCAAAGCAGCCGGCTGGCTCATTCTCAGCTGCAAGTGAAAGAGAAAATAAATTTGTAAAAAACTTCATCGTTTTATATCGTCCCATTTAGTCATGTATAGTTGGATATCTTTGTAATTAAGATACAATCTTACTTTTTCTGTTCATTATAACTAATATTCAAAAAGCAAACTAGCAAATAATACATATATCGGATAAATATATCAAACAATAAGGTCTTTATTGTGTATATGTGCTCGTCCGTACAAATGAAGGTTGTAGCGGGCCAGAATGGGTGGGTAAAGGGCATTGCAGAGTCGGGCTGGCACACCTTTAACATTCTACTAGTTTTTTAATCGCTTTCCCAAACTAAAATGCTTTCTAAATCTCAATAAAATACGTTGTTTCCTAGTATATTCTTAAAAAAATCTATAATTGAGTCCCCATTGTATCGTTTAGTTCATTGTGTCTGGCATAGGCGTTATGTATAACATGTTTTTATTAAATTATCATCTGACTGATGATGATATATTTAACATCATGTACTATAGGAGTATGTGGCGATGTTCTGCCTGGGTAATCCCCATTATCAGTTTTTATCTACAGAAAAAACCTACGCCGCGCTGGAAATATAGTAAGTACTCGTAGCTTATGAGATGATTATATTAAATTCCCATAGAAAAGAAATCCCCATTTAATGGCTGATACAAGTTGGCTATTAAATGAATTTCTGAAACGAAATTTATTTCAACATCTACTTTTAATTTATGGCATTATAGCTTCGCTCAAACAGGCATTTGACAAGTTATATATAAATACATATAGTATAAAGATCCGTCTGCAGTGACAAATTAGAAGTTTTCTCACTCTTTTAATAGGTTGTTGGAAGATGCGGCCACGTTTACCTTGTGAGTTATTCTCCGAACCCCCCCTTCATTCCTTTCTGGGCTCTGCTATGCCTCAATATAGGTGTTATTATGGCTGTCTTCCTCGGTTTATAGATGTTTACATTTACCTTATGGAGAGTGTATTTATGTGTATTTATTTATTTATTTTATTTTTCACACAAGAGACGCCTTCAGTAAATCCGCAGGTACCATCGGTGGGTATAATACCCTATAACTGTAACATCACAAGCTGGATACTAGCATAATATCCACACATATTATACATTGACGTCATATTTTTACGGATATCTTGACAAGCGTATTTATCCACCATAATGAATGTGCCTGAACTCTAGTCAGCCAAATGCACTCGAACTGGATTTGTTGCGGTTGACTTCATATCGAGTGTGTGCTGTAAGCCGTACGCGATTAGGAATGGAGTATTTAAGTGCATGTAAACATCTATAATTATGAAGTGGAAGCATTGATTGCAATCGGAAATAGCCGTCTGATGTTTAGATCGAACTCTTTTGCCGAGCTTGCTCACAAATTGGCATTTTAATTGGGCAAGAACAAGAGCTAAACTAATTTGTTATCTTATCGATCTTGGACTTACGTATATGAAATCTATTTCTGTTTGATCACAGTCACACATTCTTTTTTATTGTTATTGTTCCGATTGCTTCAACTCACAAGTTTTGAATCCCTGCTGGGTTGGCCGCGGCTGTTGCTCAGCATTGGGGATATTGATCATGTAGGGTATGGAGTTGGAACCTGCCGGCACCTCCGACTGCCTCAGATCCTCGTAGTTAGCATATTGCTGCGTATCCCTATTCATGTCTGTTCGACTGCACAATTTTCAAACTGTTGTCGTACGATTTTCGCAAAGCACTACCCGCCTATTCCATATGCGCGTGGTATTCGCTTTGTGTTTTATTTTGTGTTATTGCTGTATTATTTAAACAAAAGCGCGATAAGCGAACAGCAGTTGCCACAATCGTATTAAATATTGTGTTTGTCTCGCTTTGACGAGCTTTGCCGATAGCTTTTGAGCGAGTCAACAAAAATCCCCTCAACAATTTCCGATATGAGCCTCATAAGTAGGTTGTGCCTATGTGTACTCCATATATGTACATAACTACATATACTTATACCCTAAAAACTATATTAAAAACTCTCCTTGAAGGGATAAACAGAAATAAAATTTCATACTTTAAATTAATTTAACTTACCACTGGCTTTTGCATGTTCTATCCACATTTAGGGGATTAACAATAATTATCGGCTTATATCATGAAATTTAAGTGCATGCATCAAAAATACATTTAAATATGTAACCACATATTAGTTAATACAATAAGCTTATGCCGCCTGAGATTTATATGAAATTTATAGAAAGGGATAACAAGTTAAAGCAAATACATCATTCTTACATCTGAAGATAAAAACTATAATTGAGAATCATCAATTTTGAGAATAAATAATGAATTAAACCGTTTTTCACCATATTCTTTGTGAAGAGGATTCCTTTCCATTGAACATATGCATTAATATAAGCAGTTATATAATACTAAGTAGTAATATAATATACAATACATAAGTATGTAGTTTTTTTTTTTTTTTTTTTTTTAATCAAAGCATTGAAGCCGTGCATTCAGATTAGCACCTTAACAATACATTTTTACAAATATAAAATAGCCCAACCTCGAGCACTTCCGCGCGAGGATTAATAAGTTAGTGGTGGCTTATGCTTATCTAAGTGTTTTGAAAAAAACTAATCGTTTCAGTCTTCGCAAAGGTCTAGCAGGAAGGAGTCCTCTTGCAAGCAAACTGCGGTGACTCAGAAGCCTGTCACTGTATCTACTTGTATGCCTTCCAATCTGCTCCTCCACGGTGAACAGGTTTAGGTCTCGGTGAAGGGTCGAACCGCGCACGTACCAGGGGCAGTTGGTAATTTGCCGCAATGCACGATTTTGCAGGACCTGGATGCGCTCATAATTAGATTTTGCGGCGATCCCCCAAATTTGAATACCGTACAGCCATATCGGAGCTATGCAGTGGGCATAGACAGCTCTTTTTACTCTAAGTGATAGTTTTTTAATCTTAAAGGTATGTAGTGAAAGGCGCGAGTAACAAAACCACCGTACACTTGGGGATCCTGTTAATACTCCAATAAGAACGCAAATTGGAATTCCGTTCATGAACATTGGCACATTGGCTGTTAATTAAAGCTACTGCAACTTGATCGCTGTTAAGCGCTTGCTTGGCAGCTGTTAAGTTAACAGAGCTTTATACGTACAAGAAAGATGGAATTCTATCGTACATTTATCTGATTTTCTAAATTATTGTTCTGCTTTGTGGCATCAGACATAAAATTTGTTATAAATATCATCAATATAAATAGACCAAGAATGCCAAACCCTTAAAACTATTGCTTACAGCAAAATTAAAAAATACAAAGTGTCGAAAGGTTGGGACAAATATTGAAAAGTGGGCTTGGTGGTGACCATAAATGGTGGTTTGTGTGTGGCGCGGCGTGGCCACCGCTGAGCAGCACAAAGGACTACTCCATTACTTTGCCACACATTTTATTTACAACGCCTGGCAACGGTGCCCTTTTTGTTTTTCTCCTTTACGGGTCACAGTTCGATGATGTTGCTTTGAAGTTGCCAAAAAATAAAATACGTAATGAAAAATCTGAGTGCACTAGAAATGCAATTGGGTTGTTGTAGCTATTGCCATTGTTGTTGTGTTGCTGCTATTCCAGTTGTTGTTGTTATTGTTGTTGTTGTTATTGTTGTTGGCTTAGCACGGACGTGAACGCTTTGTAAGTGCATGACAACTTTCGGAATGAACTCAAAGCCAAGTAGCAAACGACAAAATTTCCTGTGGCGGTGCATCACGATTATAATTGCCATGAAGCAGCAACTCTGTCGAGTGGCGGGGGATGCGGTGAATGGCGAGGGAGGGTGAATTTCGCGGTCTTCTTTAGGGGGATATTGCGCTGCTTTAAAATGACATGCACCTGACACCCAAATGACATTTTAAAGACAATCAAGCCTCGATAACTCGAATAGTATTTTTCGTCATTCCAAAAAAAATGTCTTCTACTTAAATTTCTTAAATTTACGTAGGACAACCACTATTCACCAGTCCTGGTATCCCAGTATTTAGAGAGTTGCTTTATTTGAATAAATTGAGTCCTTCGAATAGCAAGGTTTTTGATTTTTTAAAAAGATTTTCACAAAAAAAGTACTAGTTTTCGATTATAAGTAATTCTATAATTATTAATAATTTTAACTATACATGTAGCTTTAAATAAATAGCCCTCTCTAATTGCGATAGATCAGCGACTTTTGAGCTAAAACAATTTGACTGTAGTTGGTGTGTGCTTTTTTTGGCGCCCCAGGGCTGGAAAGTTCTCCATGGCCAGGGCTGAATTCGCCTGCCCTTCGTATAATGCTATATAAATATTCAAATTGTGTTTGAGTTTTGACATTTTTGTTTTGTTGCTGGTCAAAAACTTTACGGCCATGCGACAAAAGTTTTTTTACACTACCTTTTGCCATTTTTGTTTATTGTCTCGACTCGTTGGCATGGCAGGGACTTCCTTCCTAGCTTTTCATTTATTTTTTAAATATATATATATTTTTTTGCTTTGCCGCTCAAAAAGCAACGGCAGCTACTAAAACTTTAATTACTTGCATCAGTTACGAGTACTCTGTGGCAGTTAGTCAGCTAGTCCACCACTTTATCAGTCCCTTAGTCTGTCAGTCCATGAGCCCATCATGCATGCAACTGCAACAACCGCTGATAATGTGTGCCTGTTTGCGAGTGTGTGAGCGGTGGGTCGTGTGTATGGTGGGTGGGCTATTAATGTGTCGTCTACCCAGTAGGAATTGAAATCACCCTCAAGTAAAGAAGTGAGATACGAAACAATTGTTTTTAGAACTCGTTTCAAATGGCCATTCATGTACTATTTCCCCAATATGGAATGGAACGGAATGACCTTACGAAAAGTAAAAATGCGAAAAGTAAATATCCTTCTACAAAAAGGAGTTGAATAGAAGTGCGAATGAAAGATGCTGACAAATTCCTTGCACAAAAATTTGTCGAACTTCTTAAATACGTATGTCAAGAATAAGATTCTATACGAATTAAAACAAATATGAATTCAATGTTACTATACAACAATAATAGTTTAGAATTTCGTATTACTTGTGAAATACAGACATTTTTCTGCAAATTATTTGCATGTCTACCATGGCTAGTTCTCTTTTGCTGAACGCATTCTTCACAGTCCTACTGGGTTACTTACTTTCAAGTTAATTACACACGCACGACAGGAAACTTCAAAGCGCTCCAAGCATGTGCGTGTGTGTGTGGAAAGTTGATTGCGTGTGAGTGTGTCACACGTTTTCAAATGACTGACCACGCAGCTTATATACATATACTATACTCGTATATATTTTCGGCTATTTTCAGACTGTACATATGTGATGCCCGATGCCCGATTCCAATGGTCACGTGACAAGCCGTCTGCGTTCCCTATTTTAAGAAAAATCGTTCAATAGTGGGGAAGGGGTTAATACAAGTATATCGAAAAATGTTTTACTTTATCAAATGATATTCACAATTTCGAGCACACTCTAAAGAGTTATTGGCACGTTTTTATTTAATTTACGAGTACTTGTAAGCTAGATCCCCATTTCATGATTGGTATTATAAAATAATATTAAAACGTACAGATATCACGTTTTATTTCGAGACGCATCAAATCGGCAATGCAGTACATTTAATTTATTACACAACTCAAGATAATGCCAAGTAATAATTTCAACTTAATAGCTAAGCAAGTCTAAGAAGGAATTGAAAAACAAGAGAGGACGGTACAGTCGAGTAAGTCCGACAGTAAAATACCCTGTATCCGACACTGAGCTATATATGCCCCAAGCAGGAGCAAAAATAAGAAGAACTTGATTAGAAAAGTTAAGCCAATGCGGGGTAAGTTCAGGCGTTCATACAACTCTTATACTTTCATAGATCCTAGGGTTCATACAGACGGACATGCGACACAGCATAAGGATGTTTGTGAGGTGTGTCACATTGTTCTTCAGTTGCAGTGTGGCCAACTTTTTAGAAGGAATAAAAGCTGTTTTTGACGGGAAGAAAAGTAAAATGAAGCTTAAAAATGTTACAAAAAAACGTGAAAAAGCTACAGTTCTTTTCATAATCTGTACATGAAATGTGTAATAGTATCAGGTGTGCCAGAGAAATCTCTTCCGCCTCAAGACGGACAGACGAACGGACGGACAGACGGACAGGTGGACATGGCCATATCGACTCGACTTGTCATCCTGATCAAGAATATATATACTTTGTGGGGTCTGCCACGCCTCCTTTCACCCTTTGGGTACAGGGTATAAAAATCTAATAGAGACAATGATATAAAAGAATTTTTTATTAGAAAAATTGCTATTCCATTATACTTATCGGTAATATTTGAAAGCCTTCCATTAATGATAAATCATAATAATAATGAAGACATAAAAAAAGGTTAATCAGGTGCATTTGCATTGCACCTACACCGCGCTTTTTATATCAAGTACTTGACCCAAGGAGTTCGTTTGCCTTTTCCATATAAGTGTATTTCAACTTCGACTTGCCACATACCCATTTAGTTCTTGTAGCTGAAACTGCACTTTGCAGATGACACTGTCACAGCATACGACAGAATACTTCCGCTCCACTTGCAAATGAGAAATTGTTGAAAAAAAAAAAAACAAACAAAAATCGAAATTAAGCAAAGCGCCAACCTCCAATTGGCGTCTTCAAATTTAGGTTAACAGCGACTTAAATCATTTAGTGTTAATAAACAGTTGCGGT